GGTTTAGCTGGCAATTAATGGGTTTGTGTTAAATACTGCTACATATTGTGGACTTCAACATGCTAATTAAAAGAATCTTGCCAATTAAAGAGGATTTTCAGCTGAGAAAGAGAGATGATTCCAGGATGCCAATCAGCAGTGGTCTGAAAGAGTCAGAAAACAAATCCAAAAAAATGGTAAGAAAATGATCATGTAATCTTAAAGCACTCAAAGAAACCGCTGGTGTGGTCCAACATTCTTTATTACATACCAACAYTCTCTTTCTGCAGCTAAATATGCCTGCTGGACTACTTGCATTGGTGCTTTCCACAGCTTTGGAGAGAGAACAGAAACAGTGTGAGCAAGGCACAGACATGGGCAAACTCCTAGCTGCACGCAAAACACTGGTCCTTGGGCTGTTTTTGAGACTCAGGGCTGTCCTCACATCCAAGGAGCACATACATTTATGTTCAAATCAATAAAAAAATGTATGTTTCGAACATTATTTTGTTGTGACGTAAGGAGAGAGACACTGGACACAAGTGGCTTTCAGCCCAGAAGAGGCTCTCTGGTACCAAAATAGGATTGGGCCCTCAGCTAAAGAGAGTGGAGCTGCCAGCTGGACAAATCAACCCCAAGCTTCTCTGGAAAAACACAACACCTTTTTCTTGGATGAGTGTTTTTCCTTTGCCAAACTGCAAAGGAAACCTCAACCATTTTGCCTGCAGGGTTCTCAGAAACAAATACATACAATTGTTATTGTTTTTATAATGTGAAAAGTTTATGTTTTTTTTTCCAGGCTGCCCTAACTCAAAGYCAGCCAACTCAGTTTTGCTCAAGCTTTCAGACAATAATGCCATCTCAGAAAACATCTACAGATTGTGTTTTCAAATGACACTCAAAAACTTGTCTGTGCCTGTGCTGCAAAACAGCTGACTGCCCAGTTACACAACTGCTTGAGTAGTCCCAGGTTGTCCCACTGTATAGTCTCAACTTCAGCACTGAATTTWTAAGCTCAACAGCCTTCATGCTCTCTGGAAATCTCAGACGAGACAGGCAAGTACCTCAATCAGAAATTCAGCTCTTTGGTGCTTTAAATAGTCTTCATGAAGTGCTCACCTGCCTGYATGCACTGAAAACAGAGCCTAAAGCAACCACACTCCTAAAGGGGGTACCACATCTGGGTGGATCTCAAATCTACACCTAATCCTGCCCAAACCTGAAGGCGCTTGAATTTTTTACAGGTGTATTATTTTTAACCTCCAGGCACTCAGAGGGGCATTACTGAAATCCCCAGCTGGCCTGAAAATACAGAGGAGCTGGGAACATGAGGAGCAGTTTTACTTGGCCAGGACTTGCAGAAGATGYTGTTAAATAAAGAAACCTGAGTTTGTCGATTTAGGAGGCATTTTCAGGATGGATCCAACATGCACCAACAGAATGACAGTCATCTCAAAGTTCAGTTGCAGCAGCTGTTCTCATTTAAAACATATCCATTGGAGATGAAGGAGACATGCCTAAGCTTCCAGAGCTCCTTCAGCAGATTGTGAATGAGRCATGTGATTAAAAATCTCTCCCCAATGGAAAATGCATGGACAAAGCTGAGCTGACATTGCTCTGACCTTTTTTATTTCCATCTGACGTAAAAAGAATACTCCATAGTCAGCTCAAAAACATAAAAAACCGGAAACAAAACACTAAACCAAACCCATAAAAAAACCCCAACAAAACCCCCAAAACAACCAAAACCCACACAAAAGTGTTTAGAAATGCCCAGCAAGTCCTGAAATACAGAAATGTCAAGACTAAAGAAAAACAGAAGGTAAAGATCTCCTGGGAAAATATTTAAAATATTTAGGACATATAAAAAACTCCCTGTTTTTTTCACTTCAGTGAATCTCCCCCAGCAAGATCAGCTCCTACTTAGGGAACTGTGGTTACTTATTCAAAGGTAACCTTTCCCACTGAAAAAAACAAACAAACAAACAAACAAACAAACAAAACAACCCCAAAACAGAATAAAGTATTTCCAAATTTGGAAGATTGATTGAATTTAGGTTTTGTTTTCATGTTTTTCTTTCTCCCATTTAACAGAAAATTTATTCTCGTCTCTTCCAAAAGCAGACAGAGGCATTCAAGGATATTGTCTAATCCTTGTGTCCTACTGCTGGTGATTGTCTGCCTGTTTCACAAAGGATACCAGCCTTGGGATACCAGCCTAACCTGGGATGTTAAAAAATACACGGGCATCATGTGAACCAAGCCTGGACCTCAGAGCCCAGCTACCTTTCCTGGATCACTAAACAGCTTTTGAAACAAGCAATACCTACAAGTTGTCCATGGTTACTTTGGTTGTCATAAAATTTGTTCATTTTGACTTGAGTGAATAAAAAAGGTTCTCTAATTACCAGCAACATTTTCTTTATGTTCCTTATACCCGCTGCCTGTAATCTTCCACATGCTGAGAAAATGTTATCCTAAAATCTTCAGGAACTGGCAACCTTGCAACAGGGACACTCTGCCTGATACATGGTGAACAGGAAGAGGGAAATTATTGAGGGAAATAAAATTGTTTCCTTCATCTAACAMCTTTGATTGCTCACAAATATCAATATCTCAGTTACACTTTCCATTCCAGCTGTAGCAGTCAAAGACTGAGATTTCTAAGGTTCTGCATCTCCTTTACTCCTAAAAACATCCTGAAGCCCCCTGCTAGTGACAAACGCTTCACTCAAAATTCTTCCAAGTTCCTGAACTTTTAATTTCAAATATATGGCAACAAATTATTCAATTTATCAGAMTGGATAACATCTACACTTTCCACATAATTTCTTTGGCCACCCAGACCCCAAGCTTGGTGATTTGACAGGGGCACCAGATTTCCTTTGTCGTTGCATATTTTCTCTCTATGATTCTCTGAAATTAAAATTCCCTTTTCACAATGATCATTGTAAAGAAATTACATGCTTTGGTCCCAAGAACAAATTTTYAATGTCTGTGGAATAAACTTCAGCAAGTGACAGGTGTAAAGGCAAAGTATCTTTTCAATGGTAACAAGCACCCATTGCACTTACCTGCCTGAAAAAGTACTGTGTGGTTATAGCAAAGACATCAAAGCCACAGCTGGCCCTTTTAAGCTCATCTTGGATATTGATTAATCGCCGGGACTGCTCATCACACTTTTCCTTCAACCTCTGAATGAGCTGCTTTTCAGTGTCTCGACCTTCTCCTGGTTTGGGGGAGAATCCATTCTTTGGGGTGGTTGGCCTTTGCTTGGGATGTCCTACAAAGGAGAGAAGAGAAGATCATTCAGGTCACTTTGTAGGTATAGATGTGACTTTTAAGTGTTTCTATGGCCTTTGAGACTCATCCCTACAAAAGGAAAAAAGGTCTGTAGCACTCACAGCTTTCAGTCTTTCAAAAACAAAACTAAACCACCCCCCCCCCCAAAAAAAAAAAAAAAAAAAAAAAACCCCCCCCCCCCAAAAAAAAAAAAAAAAAAAAAAAAAGGCAAGAGCACAGTGAAATACGTTTCCTCAGAAGACAAAGCTCGAAGCTTCTTAACTAAGAAGCTCTCCTCATCTCACCTCAGGCTCTGAGCCTGGAAGTCTTCTACAAGTTGAGGAGAGTTGCCCCAAGAGTGTGTCACTGAGAACTGAGGTTTTTGGAGGAAGGAATCACCACACCTCTGCTAGACATCATACAAGAACAGAGGTCTGCATCTCGATGTGTGATGCTGGGGTCTCYTGGATGGCAGTGGGAGAAATGGGCACTTCCAGGTCAGGATTCTCATCTTATTGTGGATGTGGAAAACAGCTAGATGACATTAATACTCTGCACATGGTTCCTTTGTCCACCTGAACCCCAAGCTTGGTGACTTGACAGAGGTGCCAGTTTTCCTTTGCCTTTGCCAATTTAATTTTGCCTCTAGACAGGACAATGTGGGCCTGRAGCTGTCCCTCCCTGAATGCAAACAAAGCATGGATTGCTTGCTATTGGGATATCAYTGTTACTTTTTATCTGCAATGATGCAGTCTGCCTTGAGATTTCCCCTTGCTCTCAGCTTTAAAACATGCTTAAAATGGCAGCACTTAACAGATACATATCAAAGTGCCACCAGGTGCCACACAATGCTCAAGAGTCACATCACTGATTCTGCATGGCTGCTCCCTCAGCATCAATGATTCATCAGAATCACGGGATGRTTTACCTGCAGAAATAGGCCCAGATAGACTGGCTCCATTGACGTGCTCCAAGTTGCCTTTAAGCAAGCCTGATGCTGTACAAAGGTGTGAAAGCACCAGTGTAGCTTGTGTTTAGGGGATCAGCTCAAATACAGTGCCATATTCACATCAATGGCACAAGAATTAAAGTTTACTCATGACAAGCTGCTTCAGGACAGTGAGGCTTTTTTCCTAARTTCACATCCTGCTTGAGTCAACTATCCTTTGCTGTGGATATACAGAATGAGGATGAAGCAAGAAGGGGCAGTGTTCTGGTGGCATCAGGCTGCTCAAGCCACTGCTCGGAAAATCTGTTTTGTCTCTACCTTCTTTGCTTTCTGAGAACTCTCCTCTGTAAAAGAAAAATATGGCCAGCTGGGCATCACCATTGCACAGCTTACTGAATTTTTTTGCCTCCCCTAGTCTCTCCTCAGATGCTGCTCTTTAGCTCATTTCTGAACACTGGGCAGGAACCTCTGGTCTTTCACAGATTCTTCCATCAGCCTACCGCTTTTCGCCTAGAAGCTAAAGTCAGTAAGAAAGGGGGAGAAAATATCAACCAGACATCTTTGTCCAATGTGTTACTAGAGATCATGGACATGGGTCTGGAAGATTTCTGTATTAGTAGAAAAGGCTGTGTATGCAAGAATATGGAAAAAAAAATAGAGGAAAGTTTGTAGTTTTATAGTCTTATAATTGACAGCTCCTCTAAAACAATACAGGAATCATGTCTGCACTCTCCAGCAACCAATGTGATAGGGGACAGACTTCTGCCATGAGTACTACCTATCCCTTTCCTAAAAGGATCMTCCCACAGAGATGCCTCTGGTGGTATGAGTCTGAGCCAGTTTGTAAAGTAGAGCATTACAAATTTCAGAGGTAATTCTGTCACATGAGCTTTAGATCTTTTAGATCTTTGAGACTGTGATCTGGGTGTRCAATCAGATTCTTAGGGCAATTTTACTAGATCAGGCACTATGGCTTCCCCAGAGCAATACCCCAGGACATATTTCTACTTTTTCAGGTCCCCAGCTTGTGTGGAGCCATTGGGAGCAGATCTTCTATCTTGCCCAACTACATCCTGGCTCCAGGCTAAGATTACAGAGAGCCAGGTCCAGCAGAGATGCTCCCTCATGTCTCCAAGCATCCCATGGTGTAACTGCAAAAAAACACCCTTTGAAACTCTTTGCATCCATGACTTGCATTTGTGAAAAACAATACCATGTTTTGCAGCATCAAGACTGATGCCATGTTGTTGGCAGACCTAAATAATACAATACAAGGAGTTTCTGTCATTAAGAGATTTCAAGCAGCACAGCTATTGCCCCCTATCCATTTTTATGTCACTTAAAGCCTGTCAACCTTTTTGTGCAGTAATTGTATTTTCTTACATACTACCCAATTCATGTCAAGGGACTCATAACTGTGCAGTAAGTAATACCATAAAATAAGAAATTTATAGAAGCAGCAGCCATAAATATCTGTCTTTTTACTATAAAATCATCTTGGGTTGTTTAAGAAGCACAGTGATGTTACAACAGAAGGCTTAGGGAGAAGTGTAGGGGAAAACCCTTGGAATCAGTTCAGTTTTAATTAAAACAAAAACCCATCAGGTTGCTCAGTGTTATATCTTTCTAGCCTTTGTGTTCAGTGGRAGATTTGAAGCGCACATCTCTGTGTTGTCCTTGTCAGTATTATAAGCTGTCCTTGTAAATTAAATGGTGCTRTTCTCCTCAGGGATAAATCTGAATTTCGCGGTTCATTTGGGTCTGAAAGACAGCTTACTAAGCTTATTCTGCCATTGATGTCTCTCTTCTGTTGCTCTGCACAAAACAGGGTATATATTAATGATGTCGGCCCTGATCCTCAGTGTCCTTTTTGCTGATGGTGGGACCAGAGGGGCAGACCCAGAGCGTGCTGAGATCACTGAACCCCTTTGATCAGCTTCAAAACTCTCAAGTCTTTTTTATCTATGTGAGTGTTTGAACGATGGAGACATAACAAGTATATACTCATAATTAACACTGTCCAGGAGGATTTAGATGGGGATTGCAATTTATTTGCTTTTTAACTGTMCAATTTCCAACATTTTGGTAAGAAAAGTGAGTAAATTACTTTGAGACAATTGATGTGAAGCATTGTGTAAAGTGACAGATGTCTGAAACAGTTGGCACAGTTCTAAAATGGGGAGGAAGGAGAGAACTTGTATTTATGGACACCTGCTCCTACACACAGATCTCAGGAGTGGTGTTGCATTAAAAGACAAAATTGAGATCCCTGCAAGACTCTGCATCTCAAAACTCCCTTGCAAGCCTTCAGGAGGACTGATCCAAATTCTAAAGSTCAGGTTCAAGGCTAAAATAATTTGTGTATGGCAGTCAAAAACCAGCACTGATTAAAAGGAACTGATTGTGAGTAGGCCAGTAACAGAAGCAAATACTGCCTAGAAACAGCASTCAGAAATTTTAGAACCTGTTTCGTGGCTGGATGTAGCTGTGGTGAAGTTACCTGAGAGATACATTCTCTCCCTTCAGAAAGTGAAAATGATGCAGGGTTTGCAATTCTGGYGGAAAAAAGGCTGTTGCTGCCCGTTAGCACCAGCTACACTCTGTATCTTGTTCAAAGGCTGCTTTGACTGTTTTTGAAATTGTCAGGTAGGTGAAAAAATTGTCATTATTGCTTTGTTATTGCTGTAGTTCAAAGAATGCCAGAGGTTACTCCAAAAAAAAAAATGAAGATGGGGTTTATTTTCCTACTTGATCCTTACAGAGATATACAAATTCAGATTGCCTTAATTGCAGAGAACTGAGCTGAACAAATTCTGAATCATTCTGATGGATAGAGGTCAGTTATTCAACCTCTCACAAGAATGAAGAAACCTTTGAGGTTTCATGAATTGGATACGCCAAAAATTTAAACCTTGACAATTATTAASTCACCCACGGAAATGCAGACCTCCTTAAGACAATAAAAATACACTGTACAAATATTCCTATGTTCCATTTTGCTTTGTAATCCTGGTGGAGGCAAATCAGATACGTTGTAACATGCTGCTACAGCCACAATCRGTGCTGATGCTTAAATTGGACTCCCACCGCTATAAACACTGGTGAGCTTCTGGTCTGGCACACTCTGCAACAAATTYTTTGGATCTCTCTGTGATCTCACCAGGTGCAAAATAGCCTGTAAATTATATGACTCAGAGGACAGTGTTAAGTTCATATTTTTACTCTAATATCTTTGTAGGGAGAAGAATTCTGTATCCTGTGGGTGCCTGGGAAGATTAGATTTAACCTTCTGTTTTCTTGATTTAACCTTCTGTTTTCTTGATTTTGTTGGTTGAGAAGGAAAGGAATAGGGACTGAGTTTTGTAATAATGGGGAAACTCGGGGTGCAAGTTATAGGAGCTGGAGAGCTGTGCTACACGCTTTATATTTTGCTACCCAATGAAGCAACCTGGGGCTCTACCCACCACAGTTATAACTCAAGTATCCTATAGCTGTGGAGATGACATTTTAAATACTCAATCAGAGGCTGAAAAATGAGGCAACAAAAGATGAACTGCAAGCACAATAAAATCAGTGAGACCACGCACGCTCATTTCAGAAGCACTGAGATCAAGCAAAGGCCAGCCCCACAAAAACCTTTAGGCACCTTATGCATTTGTTAATGTGCAGTTGGTAGACATAAACAAGTTCTCTTCATTTTAGCAAATAAAAAAAGGTATTCTTCATAAATGTGTTTGTGCCCAACATTGAGTGATAAGCTGACAGTGTCCCAATAGCACTCTGAAGGTAATTTCTATAGATAATTCCTTTTCCAGTTTTGCACAGAAATAGCCAGGAAATTTAGTACCTCTGCATAAAAGTAAGAGTCGATTCTGAGCAATCACTATCACTCCAGGCAATTGTCTGAGGTGTCTTTTATTTCTCTGTATGTATCTGTTCTCTTTTTATGTAAGAAAATTGAAATGATAAAAAAGATGCTTCTGCACCCTTTAACATGTAATAGCAACAACTCTTTATTTTGAAGGAGAGATGATTGCAGGGTTAGAGCAAACAGAACAAAAGTCTATTTTGCTGATGCATGGGTATGGTAAAGCCTGCTGTAGCCAGGTTAATGAACCTTGGACGCAATCAATCCTCACTTAACAACAGTAGGTCTCAGATTTGAGTATGTTAACAAGAGGTGCAAAGTCAACAATTTTAAATCTTCCCTGAAACAGTACTCTTGGGTTGATAAATACCTGGTGAATGGAGTTTTGTGGCTGTTACTGCTGATTTCTTGGGAGATGAGACAGCTGGTCTGTTAGCATCCTGATCTTTTTGTACTTCTTTCTTCACACCTGGTTTAGGAAAAAAAAAAAAGATAGAAAGACATCTGGTTTACAATTCTGTTTGTAACTGTGCAGAGCTGTGTCACTAAGGTACACACCAAGATGGCAAAATGTAAATATTTCACCAATATACATCCTGGACTTTGCACAGGATGGTGCTACACAGAATTTTGGGGTTGGATGCCAACCTGCCACATTTGCAACCACAACTGTGCATACGTGGCTGAGCTGTCATGCACAGCACTAAAGAAGGACAAAAGAAGGCCTTACACACTATCCTGGTTTTCCAATCACCTGCACCATGACAAATGCCATTAAGGCACAAATAGCTACACTGGTAACCCATCCTGTCTGTTCTGAGTGCTGTGCTCTGTCCCTTTACCTTGTTGTGCAAACTCATTCTGAGCTGCAGGAGAAGGAATAGGACCATGCAAAGCTGACTGAAGTCACATGCAAGTCACAGTAAGGAATCTGGCTGTTCTGGGGACCAACTTTCCCAAGAGGTTCTCATGCAGACAAGAAAGAGGCTTGATCCAGAAGCAGGCAGGATGTGACAGAGCTGGGCTGGATGTGGCTGCCTACACACAGGAGTGGGTAGTGCCTATGCAGTGAGTCAGGCAGGGACACTGCTGGGCAAGCAGTGGGTTCAGTGCACCAACTTATGAGATGCTATGACAATGTGGGATGAAACAGGGCATGGAAATTTTCAGAGAGAGGCAACTTAGTTATGTTAGCCTGTTATTATTGGTCCCAGCACTGGAGCTCTCTAGTCAGGGCCTGGGGATGGTCTGCCAGCTGTCAAAGTTCTGCAGTCAGCGACTGCCTCTTGTACCAGGGACATACAACTTCATCTGAAAGCCAGAGTTGCCACCCAAGCTCAGTTCCTCCTGCCCACCCACAGCTCCCATCAAAGTATCTGTGGGGACCATGCTGAGTGCAGTAACACGAGGTGCTGCCCTGCTTGTTTGACTGCGGTATGACAGACACAGACACRGGATTTCAAGCAGAAAACATTCATCAAAGAAGTAAGGAGAAATAGCAATATGAAGTAAAACCCTGAGATAATATATTTTCCTGTTTGCATTTTTTTTTAACCATTAGTGTTTGTTGGTGGTTGCATTTTAGCTGAAGRACTGTGTCACAGCCCTGGACACACAGGAAAAACAGACATTTTGGGCAAATGACTTGTTAATAGAAGGAAAACCATGTTTGCCCTATTAACTTTTCCTTCTCTCATGAGTGTGTTCACAGACATCTTATAGGGAAATGTCCCACAGAGTCTGAAGTATCTGAAGCAGAAAAACAAAATGAGATTTTCTTGGTGGTGCCTAATGACAGTGGCAGTCCAAAAGTTAACATTACCTTCCATTTTACATATTGCAAACATGACCTAGCMATTTCAATAGCAGAGAAAAATAATTTTATATGGGGATCATAATCTTCAGGGACATTAAGTGGTTTGCTATTGTTCTGCTCCCACCAAAGSCACATCTAGTGACAGTTGCAGTATAGGTTTGTTTCTGACAAATCATTCACCCTTCCACTTCTGTCCACATCAGGATTTGCACGCAGAGAGTTGCAGATGTAGCATTTGTCACACACCAGGAGCTGAGCTGCAGAATTTCTAGCACTGTCTCTCAGCATTTGCTGGCAGAGTACTTCTGGAGAGAGCRCATGCACCTGCACAAGCCTTGTGCCTGACTGGTGGTGGGAGGGCAGCACAAGCTCCAAAGCCCTCTTTGGCTCTCTTCCACTGTTCATCGGCAAATCACATCAGTGCTTGTCAGGGGCTGGTAAAGACTGAACACTTCCTCCTACCTTTACTTTTATCCATCTCCCTTTTCTCTCTTGTTTATAAACACAACATGTTGGGGCTATGACTCTCATTTGTGATTAATAYTTTCCAGAGTGAAGTGACTGAAGACAGAAATTGCCTGTGCCTGCCACCTATTACACTGCTTTACCACAGAGTAGGACATAAAATAASTTTATGGTGCCTTTTTGTTACTAAAAACCAACCTGAGATGGCAGTTGTGAGACAAAACCAGGGCTTGTTTTATAAGATATAGTTTATACAGTTACAGATTCAGGCATTGCTTTTTCACAGTAATAAGGGTTTGGCTTTTCTGTGGCTTTTAAAATAAAAATATAATGCACAAATGGGCCATATGCTCAGCTCCTCCATATATTTTGCTATGCCAGAGGTCAGCTCCTCCATATATTTTGATATGCCAGAGGTCAAACACAGGCAATGGTACAGAATTCAGCAGCAAAGGGCGTGCGAATAATTAACCAACTTTTGGTTTTGAGACATTCTCAGTGAGGAGCACCTGRGGAATTCATTCAGCCCCTTAACTTTAAACACAAAATGAGAAACAATTGCCCAGTTAGACCTTGGTTGAAGTGAAACAGAGCAAAGAAGCCCCGAATTTTGCAGAGGGCAAGGCACGGTCTGTGGACAGCAGTGAGAGTTGCTCATGGGCACTGTCCAGCAGGGGCAGCTGTATGGGGCACATTGGCTCCAGAAGACGGGAAATCAGCAGAGAGAAGGTGCAAACAGATACCATGTCAAGGACAGSTAAGTAGGACTAATAACAAGGAGGAAAAGTGCCTTTGTTCTGTTTGCAAGGCTAGAAGAGCTCCCAAGGTCTGGTGGGGCTGCGGAGCAGCAAGCGGGCAAGAGAGGAGGGGCTGTGCMAGGGAAGAGCCAGAGCCCAGCACAGCCCAGCTGGGAAGCAGCCAGGGGCACAGACACACGGAGYTAACAATTATTCAACTTCTCCTTCCTAAGCAGAAGGGCCCTGCTGGCCTCTCTGTGGCCCTCCTTAAAGAAGAGGGATTTAAAAACCACACAGCAGGCAAAAGGAAGGATGGTCTGCGGGAGCAAGCTGTTGTCGTTTTTCTAAGCTCATCACCCACAGGGAAATTTTAGGGGAAGAGCCATCCCTGGCATCAGACCTCATATAAGAGCTTGTGCTGAATGCTTTTCTAAAAATGGGCCTTGCACTTGTCTTTTGAAACAACAGCTGTTAGCTGGTTAAAAGAGAAACGTTCAGAAAACATGTTGATTTCCTGCAGGGAAAARGAATTTTCAGATTACAAGTGTTTGGGCTCAGAATTTGTCATTTCACTGAAATAGAGAATTTCAGGTTTAAAAAAATCTGAGKGAGAGCATTGGTGTAGTAATTAGCATAATGTATAGTACCACATGGTATGGTGCAGCAGGAGGTTAGCAGTTTGATCTTTTCTTAGCTTGAAGTACTAGAACTAGCTCAAAGACTTAAATGCACATAAAAAGTCTGATTTTCCATGGTAACTCAGGAAAAAGACAAACATTTCAGTTGTTATTACAGACCCAAATGCATGTACAACCTCAAATAATTCCGTGTCTCATATATTTGAAATGTCAAAAGGTGTTAAGTATGCAATCATAAGAAAATAAAAAAATACACAAAATGAAATCACAAAAGGAAATCAAGCACCATAAACGTCTGTTTCTTGAACTTGTACACTGTTTTAATTTTCTTCAAAATTCACCTTCTAAAATGTCTATTAAATCTGATCTGGAACAAAATTTACTTCAAATCCTTAGTGTTACTGCCCACAGACTGGAAATATGGAATTCCAATTTGCTCTGTGATAAATGCCTCTACATTAGCTTTATTCCTGCAGGCTGCATAATCAGGGCTCTTAGCACCAAGCCTCCCAGCACAAAGCTCCTGGCATAGCAGGAACCACCATTAACTTCCAGGCTTCCTGGAACAGCTTCCAAGGCTCTGCCGACTGCTGCCACTGACAGAGCTCATGCAGTGACTCAAATTGTCTTTCTGGTGGCCAGCAGTCAAAGCCACAAGCTACTAATTTTTATGTCAATCTACATTCTGTTTAAGGTTAGAAATCTCCTAACGTTTCCCCTCTTTTAAAATCTATGCTTGTGTGAAGAAATGGATATTTYGGACTATGAGATAACAATGAGCATAAATACTTGTTTTCTTTTCTACCAGTGTGCTTACAACWTATGCTTTTGAAAAATGCATCTAAACACACAGTTCTGTAACGGTATTTACATTTCCTAATTAAAATACACAGCCTGCTCCAAATGAAGCAGAAGGAGAAAAWGCAAATTAATTAGAAACACAAGGCAAAACATCCCAGAAATCACTCAGAAAAATAGCACACAAGCAAAGCCAGTTCTCCATTCCCCCAGCAGTGCTGAATGCTGGCCTAGGAACCAGAGCAAAATGCACCTTATCCAAGACATCTTCTCAAGCACTGCAGAATCAGCACTATTTACCTGTACCTTTTTGAGTCTTCAAAAATCAGTTTGGTGGCTTCAATCTGCTTTTATACTTCAGATTGAAAGTGTGCTGACAARTTGTACATTGAGTATTTATTCCAAAACAAATCCTAACATGCTGTAGAGATCATTAACAATTCAATGGGACTGACTGCATTCACATGGATTCCAGCTATTCTCAGGAGTATTTTATAAGTTAACTGATGCAAGTCTGCAAGTTAAAAAAAAAAAAAAAAAAAAAAAAAAAAAAAAAGCAACCAAGCAAATGTCTTCAGTCACTCACAGACAGAGAGTCCCTTTGAACTTTCTTCTGCTTTCCCCCCTGATACCCATGACTAGTCATGTCCTTGGTGAGTAATGACACATCTCTGCATGCATTGTTTGAGWCAAAATGAGCAAAGCTGGAAATATGATGGATTTTGTAGAATGAGGACAGTCTAATTCTCTCTAGAGACACTCAGCTTYCTGTGATCTAGAAGACACTGAAAGACTGAATAAATAAGTAGATGTGGAAGAAGGACTATGTATTTGTTGAAGTAGAAACTGCTAATGCTTGTGATTTTCCTTTGTGTTTGTTTCAAATTTAAAGCAAATCTGATAAGAAAAAAAGGACAATTACTATTTCATTGTCTCATCTGAAAATCATAGTGTTGTACCTGTATTAAAAAAAAGTCTCTTTAGCTGGTATTAAAAAAAAAGGAAAAAATAAACCTGATAAGATCAATAATTCTTTGGACTGAATAGAAATCTCAGRGTCATTCAGAACAACCAAAGTTAGTTGAAGAGTTAAGACAACTACTCCTGCTATTTCTGCCATTTTGTGTGGAACCCATGGCATTTTACTGTCTCTTCCTCACCAGCTGTATTATGGCATGTTCCCAGAGTGGCTCCCAGAACAGAGGCTGGAAAAAGTTGCAGTTGAGCACCCCACTTTCACCTGCAAGGTAGAGCTGCCTATCCCTGTGTTCAGTACAGGAGCAATATGAATGTAACCTGCTGCACACTTGCTGTTCAGTTTTGAAGGGAAAGTGTTTGCAAGGGGTAACAAAGCAGCAGCAGACTCTTCTCCCTTCATCCCTGTAAGGGCACTGATACTCACTTTCCMCCCTCAGCTGACCTCAGCTCATCCCTCTCCCTCCTGCTGACGTTGTGCTAGCTGGATTTTGCAGAATCTGATTAAAAGGAGCACATTTAACACTGTAAGATTGCTGGTGARAGCTGGCCAGATAACACTGGCCTCCTATTTTCCATCTTGACTGATTGCATTTCACAGCCTTTCCTGTTACATTTGATTTATTGGTACTTGTAAAAGCACAGAATTGACTGGGTGAGTTTTTTGAACAATGCTTTTGATTGTCTTTAATTTAGTGGGCCAAGCAGAAACAAGCTGCTCAAATTAATTCTTTATTGCCACTGTTATTGCACTCAAATTAGGATATTTGTGATGGGTTATAACAGTCACTTGACTGCGAGACAAACATTAAATAATAACCAAGTTGAGAAGAATCCCATAACATACACACCCCAAACCCTATAACAAGGCACAAAAAAAAAGTAAAATTCCTCATCTCTCTCATTTCATAGACAGCTGGGTGGCAGGTCCAGCCTGTTGGAGAGAACTGAGTGTTTGAAAATTCTGCAGATATTACCACATTTTAAGGGAAATTTAAAACAGCARATTTGTATATGTATGCTTCAAATATAAATTTTTATCAACATCCATGGGAAGAGGAAGAWTATATGACTTTTATTTTAGTTGTAAAGTTCCTGATGTAGAGCTGCTTTCACCTATCGTTACACAAAATAAGATGCAATAKAGAAGTGGTAAGTTTTATTTAGGTTATCACTGTACTTCCCAAAATAGTGAATACATTTAAGTGAAATTAAAAGACCTCTCTTTTTCTAGTCAAGAAGGTGCTTTTTTTYCCCTTTTCTATAGATCAGCTGTCATGTAAATATAAAAAGGGCTGTGCAATACACTGAAACCCAATTAAGTGCACTTTTTTCATAGATCAGTCAAAAGGCCACCCGTTCATGCCTGCAAAAATATTTGCATGACAACAGTTTTCCACTGCTGTTGTCCCATGCCAGAATTCTTTTTTGATCATCTGAAGCACAGCATCACCTGCTGCACAGCAGCAGCTAAAGGAGTCCCTTTTCACTAATCAAATAATTTTTTATTCCCTGTAATCCAWTTTATTTCACAAGCACTTTTAGTGRAATATCAGGAGTATAATCTCTCTTGAGCAATTGTCTATTTTTTTTAATGAACATTTACAGTTCAGCTGGTCTTCTCAAGTAACATCTAATGCATGAAAGCTTTCATGTGATTTTTGATGGTTATTTTTGATTCACTAATGTAGGTAGATATTTTCATTTGTGAATTAATTTATTATTCCTACTAGAACAAAATGATGTATGTCTCTGAAATACAAATGTAATTTTWAAATTACCTGATATTGAAGTCTTTCAGAAATATTATTTATATTTAAATTACTGCCATCCTCTTTGTGAAATAYTTTCCTTTTTCCTTTTGTAAAATACGCTGTATGCAATTCACATAGTGCCTGTGCTCCTCAGCTGTAACTGTGGAGGGCTCTAGGCGCTTTAGTTTAGTAACTGCAATGTCTTGCACAGGAGGTTGGTCAGATGCTAAACATATATATGCATATATATATAATATAAATTATATATATATAGATAAAATTATATATATAATCTAATATATTAATATTAATACATATGCATTTGCATTAATATAGGCAACATTAAGCCTAGAGAAATTACTGTACAAAGGATACCTAAATTAAAAAATTTACATTCTGTAGGTGTCTCTATCACTTTAGGATCTACACCCAGGGTTCATACACTATTGCAAGACAGGTGAGGTTAGAATTGCTAAGAAAACCTTGTCTTCATCATTTTTTTGATTTATTTAAACCTTTGCTCCTATCAGATATTAGCATTGTGAGGAACCATGATGCTGTTTTAATTAAAAAAAAGAAAAAGATTGCAAATTGGCCACAAATACACGCTGCTAACTTGGCTCATAAAAAATTAAACTAGAACACTGGACTAACATAGTTTCTTTTGTTTATGTCTGTTGTGTATAATGACAACTTCCTAAACTTATCAGCTGCCCCTGTTTGGGAACTGTGTCTGACTGCGTAACGCAGAGGGGTAGCCCTGGTTCCATGTTTAGTTTCCTTCCAGAATAAAACGAGTTTATGATGTGGTAATTGCTGAGTTATCCCTTTGCCCTTATTTTGACCCACGAGCCTTTTATTGTATTTATCTCCCTCTGTCTGGTTGGTTTGGTGAGTCTTTGGAGTCTAGCCAACATCAAACCAGTACTAGCAGGTTAATCTACCTTGAAACCAGGTGACAAGTAATTCATAAAATCTTTGTATCATATTTGGCACTGACTTTTCCTTCCCAGCTCCATTTGCAATGTGTTATTAAACCTAGTGGTACTTATACAGAGATGAAACACTGTTGAATAAGAGTCAGACTGGATAAGCCTGGTGATGTACACAAAATTATTTATTTTGGAGTCTAAACTCTTAGRTTATATCTGAACTTGATGGAACTGGTCATTTGAGACATAACTGGCTTGAGCAGGAGAGATTAGCATGGAAACTATTTGGAAACATGACTAGGGGGTTTTTCTGCTTTATTTTCTTGCCTCCTTCTGCCTCTCTGAGTGAAAAAAATGAAGATTGTTTAAACCTAGAGGCCAATATTCTCATCACTGCAAACATACCTARCAATGAATTATCTGCTCAATGGAATGCTTTGGTCTCTAAAGCAGCACAATGTTTTCAAAAAGCTGCTTGGTGAGAACCAACAATAYATGCAATAAATCTCTGGCATGTGTAGTTAGGGACAGTAAATGCCTTCAAYTCCAGGCACAGCTCACAAAATGAGATTACAGCTGTGTTGTTAACTGTGTTTGAAACAGTAAATGGAATCCAAATCAGCACGCTGGCAATGGGCTCAAGGATGKCATGAAAATTAATTAATCAAGCAATAAAATGGCATCACAACMAGGTTTCTGCATTCCTTGCCTTAAGCAGGTGGTGTTTGAAGAGTGCAGCACTTACCAGCCGGTGCGGTGGCAGGTTTTGGTGCCGGCAGAAGGCTCCTGCGTGGAGTCGCTGTGCTGCTCGACACCTGAGTCGTGCTCTTGCTGCTCCCCTTGGGAACATCTTTAGAGGGTGCAGATGCCCTAGGGGTGGTCTGCTCTTCATTTCCAAGGCTGGAACCTGCATGAGACCGGAATTGCACTAATTATAAGTCCATTAAAAATGTATGTGAGCTGTGGCACGCAGACTGAACTTCTATCAGCAATTATAACCTACAACGGCATGTTCTCACTGCAAGTGGGGCTCAGTTGCACAGACTTKCTCCAGCATAAAACTTTAGRTAGAAATAATGAGTCCCCAACAACKTAGGTAAATRCTTAGTCTTGGCAGCTGTTAAGAGTCTGATTCCAGCAGGAACTTAAGATCTCCTCTTGGTCTAGCTCCATGAAGGCAAGTGGCTACAATGCTCATCAAGAAACCAAGGAAATCCTAAATACCTGRATGGATGAGTTTATAGTTTTGTAGCTGCTACAGGAGCCACACAACACACTCACCCTACCACTTGGAAGCTGCCAGTGTTTAAAATAAAGGGGAATAGCAAGGCTCAGTGCTGCAAAGTTCCAAATTCTCCTGCTCAGGCAGGATTTCCCACAAAGACTCTCTCAGATCACACTCAGACAGTTGAATAATAGGATAAAAAATAAAAAAAAAAATTCTGCCTTAACTCACATCCATTTCAATCATATTCTCATAACAAATATTAGGTTGCCAAGTTTTCCACCTTATGTTGACCTCTTTCAAAACTTTTAATGGGTTTGGTGTCCTCCTGAGTTCGCCATCTAGGGAATAATGATATCCTAGAATCTTTGTAGACATAAGGAAAACAATATTTTCTTAACATTTGGGAAAGGCAAAGCTRGAGTCTCTTTTTTACCTATCTGTCTACAAGGCCTAGGAGGAGCAAAAGATTATGGCAGATATGGATTTGAACATTTGCAATGGATTAACATTTTATTTGAAAAAACAAGTGGAGATAGAGGCAAGAAATGCAATGTATTTCAGAAAAGGCCTATATTTTTTATTTCAATTGTTTTACAAAGATATAATATTGATTAGGTACAATATAATATTGGTTAGGTACTGCCTGCAGAAAAATAATTGGCATGTCCAAATCTCCAGTATTTTTAAGATATAAAGTGTGCAAGCAAAGGAGAGATTTAATTTTTGCCTTTCTTATTGAAAATCTACTGGGAAAAAGAATCAGGTTGGAAAAGAAAATCCTCTTTTCTGATAAAGGACCGATACACCTTTTGGCTCTGAAAAAACAGCTTTTATTTTTATTGTGTCTTTGAGGGTGTTTGCATGTAAGTCCTAATTTAAAGTGTGTGTATGCAGTATAAATGGACTTCTACAAACATATCTGGCCTTTCTCAACCCACATTAAAAATTCAAACAAAACAGTGTAGTGTACTCTATGCAAGAACAGAAAGACCCAAAACATTTGTCACCTTTACACAGCTGTGCACAAAAAAATCCCTCAGCACATCAGGTTAGTGCTGAATATCCAAACTACAYGGATTTTTCACCTGGGTAACAAACATTTAACTTCATGTGCTAAATTATCTGCTGACAAAACAGCTAAATTATCTGCTTCTGTAAAGTCACATCAGCAGAAAATCTGGACCAGACAAGCCCCATCTCCTCTGCAGCTGTGCATGAGGATATTTGTTCTGCCAGGTTCCAGGGGGATGCTGCAGCGTGTATGTCCACCTCAGGCTGTCTGCATCACACTTCTGAAGTTATTCCTGAAGTGGTCTCATACACCACTTGTATAAAACTTTTTTCTTTCTCAGCTATTTTTTTTTAAAGTTTCAATTGCAAAAGCACTAACCTTGAAGAGTAAATTATTCTTATTATTTGCAAAGAAATGTTGTTCAAGTGCTCTTTAATGGAAACCTTTTATTCTCAGTTGCAAAATGTATYATGTGGAGAACATTTCAACTCACAAATCTGACCAAATGGAAGCAATTCCTGCATTGAAGTACAATGGTCCCAAAGGKAGTAACATAATCTCTTATTAAAAAAAAAAAATTTAAGTTTTTTTAGGTATTGAAGATGAAGTGCTGCCAACTACAAACACTTTCTGTCTCAAACACACCACAGGAGATCTCTTAATTTCTTAAATGAGTGGGTGAGAAAGAAGACAAACATGGYCTTGCAGAATCCCCGGATCAGAAATGCCAGGGCCTGGAGAGAGCTGGTCACACATCTTGTGCTGTGCCTGGACAACCCCCTCCAATGGAAAAAGGCAAAGAAAAAAAGAAAAATGGATTTTGATCTTTTATGAAGAAATGGACTGAGGGAGATGAGCTGCATCRCTCTCCTGAGTGTCTTGAGGCASAGGGGCAGCCTGCAYTGGGGGGATGGGGCTGTGCTGTACSRGGTACAGATGCTTCCTGAAATGGRCACACSGCAGRGCACAGCCTGGCCTGGGAGCCAACAGGGAGGCACCACCCTCAGCTGGAAGAAGGTGCTTAAGAAAGGACAAAACACTGCGCTACAGTGTGGAGTGAGGGAAAAAGTATAGGRGCTGAGAGGGAGCAGGTGCTCCCTACAGAGCCTGGAGAAGACCATGAGACAGCAGGTCCTGCAGCTCACGGAGAGGACTGTGGTGGAGCAGATATTCACACTGCAGCCCACAGAGAACCCAACACTGGCACAGGGGGACATGGCTCAGAGGAAGCAGCATCCACAGAGAGACCTCACAGGAGGAGGGCCCTGGAACAAGCCATGGTCTATGGACATGAAAACGGTGCTGGTGCAGGTTTATCCTGAGGGATAGCAGCCCTGGGTAAAGACCCGTGCAGGAGCAGGGAGAAGTGTGAGATGGAAGAAATGSCAGAGAGGAACTGGGATGAACTGACTGCAACCCCCATTCTCYTCCAATTGCGCTGCTCAATGTGGATATAGGATGGAGGAGGTAGAGGAGTTGGGAAGGGAGAAGTGGAGACAGGAAAAAAAGGGGGACAGAAAGCTATTTTAGGGTTTTTTTGGTCTTTGTTTCCCACCAGTCAGCTCTATTTTAATTGTTAATATATGAAATAATTTTTTTCAAGTCAAATTTGTTTTGCCTGYGACAGCAGTTGGCACGTGATCTCAATGTCTTTATCTCTATCCGTGATCTTATTTTCTTTCCTGTCCTGTAGAGGTGAGGTAGCAAGAGAGAAGCAGGGTGGGTGTCTGGCAGCCAGCCAAGGTCAATTCACCATAAAGGCAATATCGAGACACTCAGGATTTGCTGAGATAAGGTCAATGTTTAACACAGGAGACATTATTTCCTGCTTTGCTCTTCACTCATCGACAGAGATCGGGAAAAGGCAGTGGGATACAACAACACATGCGTGCATATTATGCCCCAAGAAGCAAATGTTTGCCGCTTCTGTGGGTATCACTAGGGCAGCMTCTAGTCCCCCAGGAGCAGAGGTAGCTCAGTTTCACCTTGCTATGCATAGTGCTGGATTCCAGATTTCAGACAGTATTCGAAGCAGAAGTAAAATTAAAGACCTAGGAGAATGCATATTCCTCATCATCTAGGAAGAGAATAGAAGTTTTCACTTACTTCAAGGAATCAACTTATAGGAAAATCAGGAAGATTATTCATCAGATGGGACCTGTTAGTTCATCATGAAATGATGCCTCCCACTATTATCTGCAGCAGGTGAATCAGTAGCATCTGCCCTTCCATGATATCACCTCTTATTTTTCAGTAAAAGCCCGTACAGAAACACCAGATGTGCAGTGGATGAACAGTTTCCAGGTGACAACATCCTTTGTTGTATTGTACCTCCTCCCTCCTGCTCCTCTACTTTGGCACTCTGTCTAAACCAGGGGAGACTCCTCTTGCCTTTGAAGAACCTGGCGAGTCGTTTGGGGGCTGCTACATTAAAGGCCCTTTATTTTTGCAGATTCTGTGCTCTGTGAGGAGCAGCACTGCTGACTTTGCAGCAGAGTGTTTAACAGACTATTAATGATCTGCTGGGGCTAAAAGGCCTTCAGCCTCCCTTTTATCATCTCCTCACTATGAGCCACAAGGAATCCTACTTTGAAGACTTGCAGTTACTTTGGAGAGTCCCAGCTGCAGCCACTTTTCCCCTACACTTGTTTGCCAGTAGACATGCAGAAGTCAGGGTCAGGAACATATTGTAGGCTGCACGTTCAAAGAAAACTGTGACAAAACTTCCATTGGCTTCTACATGTCTTTGAACCTCTCTCCCTCCATATCTGTCAATGTTCTTTTCACAACCTGGCACTGCTTGCAGCAGCTCACTTGTATATGCCATTAGGGGTTTGTACCTCTTGTACAAAGAGCGTTCCTTTTCTAAAGTTATTTACAAATATTTATTAGAAAAGGATGGAAGTATCATCTGATATTGTATATAACTGTAAGACCAGCAGGAATGTGAGTGGGGAGAATCCTGCATTTGATGAGAAGTTAATTAGGCCATGTTGTATGGTATGCCTTGATCTGAGAGGAGACAACGACAGGAAGGGCTGTGCTCTGGAGCCCCACAGCTACAGATTTCCCTGTCTGCAATCAAGGGCAATAAAATCTCCTTTTGTTGGAGAGCTTGCATCCTCTCTACAAAAGCAGYTTGTTTGACAATGCCTACAGGTCTCTGTCTTGCTGACAAACACACTCCGAGGAGTGTGACAGCATCGGTGCAGCTGCTTCTGCGGCTCCTCATCCCGTGGGCTGCTCTGGGAACCCTATGGACACGGAGTGAGTGTCCAGCTCTTCACAGCAGGGCAAGCATTCCCTGTGCTGGCAGGAGGCTTGGAGCTGATAGCTCCTGCCACAGCTGTTACCGCGCTCAAGACGCTGGGAATGTGGTGGCATCGTGCATGCTCCCTGAAGGACGAACCTTCACCCAGGGTTGTAGGAAGGCCTTTCCAGCATAAAGATCCCTGCACACTACTTGATACCAAGTTAATGACAATGAAGTTACATCTAGCTTTTGCATCAGTGATCCCACTTAGCAATTCTAAATCACTTCCCAGTCATAGAACTCAGGAAGCTTTAAAAAAGGAGTTGAGCCACTTTCCAAATTCGCATAGCAAGAAAACAGCAGAGACAGAGAACAGGAAAACCTGGAGGTGAATGAGGTTGGAATGACTTTTTC